TACACTTTTAGCAGGTTTTTTACCTAAAAAATCTGCATTTTAAAAATTACATTTTACACTCGTTTTAATCCCATTTGTTTACCAAAAATTACGACCAAATGGAGCACTGCCATGTGATGATAAGGCAATTCGCAATTCCTCTTTTTCGCAAAAATTCTTCTATTCATGCATATGGATATTTTCTTTTTTAAATTTATTAAGCAAATGAGTAATATTATATACATGTATTAGTAATAATATATAATAATATTCTATATACATATGTATGAGTAATATTATATAATAATTATATAATAATATTACGTAATAAAGTGTAAAGTATATTAATACAGTTCGAAATTTCAAATTTTCGTTCAATATGGGTGCATGGTAACCAACACATATAACCACTTTATATCCGAAACTCATGTTTTAAATATAAAAATTGATGTATCGTCGTCCTAAAATACAAAATAAAGTATAATCAAAAATAAATGGAAATCACTGACAGATATAATAACTAAATTTCATCCATTTTATAACGAAAATTCAAATTTTATTCCAATATGGTGCAGGGTAACCAACAAATATAACCATTTTATATTGAAGTATACATATATGCTCATATTTTAAGTATAAAAATTTATGTATCGTCACCTAAAATACAAAATAATGTATAATCAAAAATAAATGAAAATCGCTGACAGATATTATAACTAAATTTTATTTATTTTATAACGAAATTTCAGATTTTATTTCAATATGTGTGCATGGTAACCAACAAATATAACCACTTTATAACAAAAACTCAATATATTTTTTTATTTTTAACGCAGAAACGAGTACTACGCGAAAGTACTTCAGTCAACCCGGGTATTCGCTCGACCAGGGTTATTTTTCTAAAGTACTTCAGTTATCCCGACATGATATTATATACATTTTATAATACTGTATTATCATAGAGTTTTAATTATATGTGTTTATTAAATATAAATCACATATTATACATATACATACTATATGTAAAATGTATAATATGTTGAAAAAATTTCAACTCAATTATAACTTAAAAAATGAAAATAGAAAGTATTTTTTATTATAATTTATGTAGAAAAAAGAATCACGCAAAAAAAAACAAACAAAGAAAAATCGTTAAGAATCCTACATATTTGGTGCTTAAGATGTGGCAACGCTCGTTTTCCTCATGTAAACAATCTAACCTTTGCAACGCCGAGTTCGCTAAATGATTTTTAAATTAATAAATTTAGGTGAAATATTACAAAATAAAATTGAAATGTGAACTTATTTCAATGTTTAGAGTGTATATTTAAATATACAGAGTAAAAAAGCGTGAATAAATTTAATGGAAGATAGAGAAATACCTTGTCTTATTAGTGCATATTTTTGAACTTTTAATCGTAAAATTTTTTAAAAATATGAGTAATTTTTATATTATTTTTGGATATTCCTCCTCTGTAGTAGCTCCTCTATCCGGGCATACCCCATTTATACAGAAACTCGGTTTTTTTACCCCTCCTAGTATTTATTTAATATTCGTATTTACAGGCATTTGCTTGAATATTGTTATTTTTTATATAACCGACTAAATTCGTTATCTCTAATTCCTCTAAAGTCAACAATATTTAAGCAAAAATCTTTCACGTGATACGTCAACACCACCAAGACAGCTGGCAGCTTGACAGCTCCCATATGCGTGGTGCAATTAGCAAATTTCAAAAATCCATGCAAAGTGAATTTCCAATGTGTTCGTGGGTATACCGCTGATTTTCGTACGTATTGTTTTCAATTTAGTTTCAGTATATTGAGAACAGTTGGCAAAATTTCAAACAAACATCTGTAGAAAATTACTAAAACAAAGCGATGAAGTGCTATTATGAAGAATTGGGTGTTGCACGCGATGCAACTGATGGTGATATAAAGTCTGCATATCGCAAATTGGCATTGCGTTGGCACCCGGATAAAAATCTCAATGCGCTAGATGAAGCTAAAGAACGTTTCCAGTTGATACAACAGGCTTATGAAGTTCTGTCTGACCCACAGGAACGGGCATGGTATGATAATCATCGAGATCAAATATTGCGAGGCAAAAATTCTAACTACACCGAAAACTGTTTGGATGTGTTTGAATATTTTACGTCTTCTTGTTACCGTGGATTCGAAGATGACGAAAAGGGTTTTTATGCAGTTTATCGAGAGGTGTTCGAGAAGCTTGCTGCAGAAGATGCTGAATTTATGGATGATGATAGTGAAATCGAGAATATTCCAAGCTTTGGTGATTCGAAGAGCAACTATGAGGAGGTGGTTGCACCTTTCTATGCCTATTGGCAGTCATATTGCACAAAGAAATCATATACATGGCTTTGTCCATACGATGTTAAAGACATAAGGGATCGTCGAATATTGCGTGAGGTTGAAAAAGAAATGAAAAAGGTGGTGCAAAAGGCGCGAAAAGAGAGAAATGATGAGGTAAATAATTGTTAAAGATATTATTATTAAAACATATATAAATACACTACACTGTAATCTTGACAATTTTAGGTGAGAAATTTGGTGTCATTCGTGCGCAAGCGAGATAAACGTGTGCAAGCATACAAAAAAGTACTAGAGGAACGAGCTGAACTTAACCGTAAAAAGCAAGAGCAGAATAGATTGGAGCAAATACGCAAGCGACAACGTGAGATGGAAGAGATGCGTCAAAATCAAAAGCAGAGCGGTCAAAATAACGATGAATATGAGACACAATTGAAGCAGTTAGCACAAGATTATGGAGACAGCAGCGATGAGGAAGAAAGCGAAACTGAAGATCAAGAAGAAGGGATAAATGAAGACGTTGTACTAGAGTCTGTAAACGAACAATTATATATAGATGATCTCTATTGTGTAGCTTGCAATAAAGCATTTAAGAACCAGAATGCGTATGCAAATCATGAAACGAGCAAAAAGCACCGGGAAGCCTTGGAACGTATGAAACTCGAAATGCAAGCTGAAGAAGAAGCCTTTCTAAACAGTAATGATAGTGATAGTTTAGAATTAGAGGACAGTGAGATTGAAGAATTAGATGATGATTATTCTATAGATTGGTTTGAAGATATATCCGATGAAAGAGATTTATCTGGAAATGTTCAAGAAGAACTGAAATCCAGTAAAGAAAAATTATTGGGTAATTCAAAATCAAAGAAGAATAAAAATACACGAAAAAATATTAAAAACAATAAATCTTTGCCGCAAACCACCTGTGATGACGACGAAGAAACGTTACCATCCGATTTTCTGACTCAAGCGAAATTAGAGAGTGATGAAGAGGACTGGAATAATAGAAGCAAAAAATCGGCCCGAAAAAATAAAAAGCAAGGGAAGAAGGCTGTTGTGGAAGAAAAAGAGACTAATTCTTTAAAAGTAGAAGCTGAAATAATAGAGAAAGCGAATGCAAGGGTTGCAACTGTTGAAAGTGATGAACCTCTTCCACAACTTTTACCTAAGACAAAAGAAACATCTGCCAGCATAAAGGTGAAAGAAAACACAGATTCGTCTGCAACATCACACGTGTGTGTCACATGCCATGCAAATTTTCAGTCTAAAAATAAGCTGTTTGCTCATCTCAAGATCACCAACCATGGGGTCTACATACCGAAAACCAAGACGCAAGTAAGTGCAACAGCACCGGACGGTAAAAATAAAAAGAATAAAGGAAAACGAAAGTAGACCCAAATTCATTTTAAATTAATGGACGTGTAACTTCTGTTCACGGAATTATTAAAAACTCCTTAGATGTATGCTAATTAATTGAACATTTAATTTAAATTTTTGAATATTTATTGCGTACTCTAAAAATATACGAATATAACTCGGTGCTTTGTTTTGTAGAAAAAGGTTTGTGAATATGTTTTGAATTAATTAGTAAAAATATTCAAAAACAATCTTCAGCAAATTTACGGTAGCTCAACACAGCCAATAAACAAGATATTTTTAAAACAAATTTTTTGTATTGAAAAAACAAAAAAATTAATAAATTTGAAAATGGCTTTAAAAGGATAATTTACTTCCATTGTTGAAGTTACTTGGATCTGATTATCATAAGAGGATATCTAAGACTAGAGTCTTTGATTAACTATTAAAAACAATTTACAGTAACTGTTTCATAAACCGTCATAACTTCTTTATATAAGTTTGTTGACTTTAAGACTCTAAAGAATTATACAATTGTAGGTGCATACCTTGTATGACGTTTATTCGAAACTTTTCTTATAAGCTGCATATACATTTGTTTATCTTAAAATTAATTACACACGCGATGCTTTTCATGTAAGTACATTTATGTATGTATGTATGCATATATAATATATATCAATACAAAAAACATGTCACTTGAGTTTGTGTAAGAGATTGCTTACAATGTTTAAACTAAATTACTTAATTAAAGGAACTTAATATTATTAAAATGTACAAAGATTAAATAATTTACACCACAGTAATTTTATTCGATAAATTCGATGTGCAATATTCCGATTCCTGTTTGAAGAATTAAAAATATAATTTAAAGTAGAGCTCTTGGTATTTGGCCAAGATTAACCGGATAGTTGTCGGCTATTCCATTAACCGTTCATTTTCGACAAACCGATTAAGTGTTCGTCGTCGACTATTCGAATAGTAAGTGTTCAACTTCTACAATTTGCAGTAAATACGCGCACAATCGGAATCTGCGCAAATATAAAGCAAGCAAAATCAAAAGCTATTTGGACTTCAAACATTTGTCGTGTTTTCAAATATTTACAGCAGAGCAACTATTCGAATAGTATTAATCGGTAACTATTCATATGAACGGTTACAGAGCGCATGTTCGAATAATCGGTTTTAAGGTTATTAGAGTAATTCTAAGAGTCCTAGTACCTAGTAAAGGTTTTATGGAATGCACACCAAACGATTGCCCTCTTCAACTCGTCGTTTTACGCGCATGCGCATATTTGACGACTCTGCTTTCAAACTGATGCCTGCGCAAATGAAACAAAGTACCGCACCGGCCACAGCACAGTAGAAGGAAATACCTGAAAGATGGTATTGAGTTAGAACATAGAATACATACAGTTTTTGTTTAACTAAGCCTTACCAATAGAACAACCCGCTGGATAGAACGGCTCAGCATCAGCGCCACATAGCAACTGCACACGCGGTGCTCCCCAAGCCAACGGATGTAGAAATAGCGCCAACATAATGCTTATTGCTGCAAGACATTGACGTTAGCACTGAATTCATTCTTCGAAAATTTTGTCACACGCTATTCAAAAAATGGTTAGAATGCTGGAATGACTCACCTGATACAACTTGTACACAACCTGTCATGTTGTGTATGCTCTTGCCAAAAGCCGACTGTCGACAGCAAGTTACTAGCGTCAACGCCACCGTTATGGAGTGCACAGCGAAGCCCAGCGACATGAAGAACATCGTGGCCTTCCAAGCCGATGGATAAACATTGCTGTCAGTCGCGAAGCCATCCAAATCGAAGGGGCCGCAGTGGTAACCATAGCCGTGCATCATTTTGCAGCGTGTGTAAATACCCACGGACGGATAACGGACCGTGGGTATTGGTAACATTAATTGGGTTTCGTTTTGAATGGAAGAGCTTGTTACACGCGAGGAAATGCTCGAACCAACACTGACAAACGCTGGATTCGGACCGATTAACCATTTAGGTGTAACTATCGCTGACGCGATTAGCATGTCGGCCACCAGGCTCAGCACAAACCAGACCAAACTGCCGCCGGTTATGATGACATAACACATACTCGCTTAATTTTATTTCAGCTGCTGCAAAACTACTGTCATTAAATCCACAGTCAATACTTTTCGAGCTGCTTGCGTTTGCCACTGACCGGGTTCAATGCATTTGATTGCTGAACTGACATGAAAAGAAAATATAGAAGTGCGTTCAACAAAAATATCTTTAATTTTGTGAAGACCTAACGTCAAGTTATAAGTATGGGTATGTGTAATTATTTTACTTGGAATGGATTCGCTTGGAATATATCAAAGGCAGATTCAGTTCGGGGCATACAATGCCCAAAATGTGTAACCTAAATAGAATCTCGGCGAACATCATATGTATGTATGTGCGTGCGTGTGTATAATAATCCACATTCATGCATACATATGTATGAACATTGCTTGTGAGTAAACAAATTCAATGCAAAAACAAAAAAGAAACACATATGTATAGGATAAAACAATCCAATGCAGCAAAGAGCAAAATGAAAAATCGCTGAATATTGGCGATGAGCGATCGGCTAAAAATTACGTCACTGTTTGTTGATTCTACACTCACTTTGTAGAAACAAAATTACAAAATTACTTAAAAATGCGTCAAACAAAATACAAACATGTTTTTGAGTGTGTTAAATTCACTTAGTTTATGGAAAAATGTATGTACAGCTGTAGTCAAATTAATAGGAGAGACGGTCATATGTATTTAAGCCTAATATTTCATAATCAAATGAAATTTTATAAAAAGTTAAATTTAGTAAAAAGCAAAGGAAAACGTTAACTGCGGCCGCAACGAGCAGAAATGCATTTATAAAAACATAATAAGGCAAAGTAGTCCCTCAGTTTTTGTGATATCGTTCTGAAATTTTGCACCCTCTCTTTTCTCTCAAAGAAGCTGTCCTTGTATCGAAACCGAAAATCAAAATCAAGTTTTTGTATAAAAACTTTTTTATTCGTTTTGTATTAAATTAGAAAATTACGTGCAATTATTGTTATTAAATGATGGTAATTCAGAATGGCTACAATTGCAGTGAATTAAAAAAAAAAATCTGAAAAAAAAAAACATTTTCAGAGTAGGCTCACAAAATTTTCTCAGATCTATGAAAACAATATACTCATGGCATTTTTAGCCAGTGGTTGGCAACTAGCTCGGTTCCCAACCTTTAAAATCCCGACTGTCAAATTTAATAAGGCGTTAAAATTTGGAATGGTCTTGTGGAAAGTAGCTCATGAAGCATGATGAATGATTTGGGTTAAAAGCTAACAGAGGGGATGTTCGAGTCTCAATGACTGTGACAGTATAGTAACACACCATATTCGACCCAACAATTTTCAGTATAAGTATCACCTGGTTATCAGCAGAAAATCAACAGAGAACAATATTGGTTATATTTTATCAAGATAAATGTCGTCCCACTCCTATTATTTTGTCAGCAACTTTATATCTTTCCACATTATCGAATCTATACTCATGAAGTTTTGTTAACTTGAATTTTCTAATCATGCTATTAAATGCAATTTCCGCTGAATTAGTATTCGGTGTCTTCCTTCAATTACAGTTAACATTTACTCTATTAAATCACTTATTTCGTACTTATGTACGGTATGGTGGTATGTAATTTTGTACTCGTTACGCCTAAGCTCAATCGACGGGTGAATTTGCATGTCCATTACTAAGTTCCACGCCTATATTTTTCATTCATGTCCGTTTTATATACATACTTTTAATTGTATATGAATGTGTACATGCTCAGCTTTTTTATAACAGTATAAAATAGACACAATACATAAGTACACAGTTTACGAGTGCTATCGCGGGAGGCACAATGACCTGTAAACGATTTCAAATTAGCTAGAACGTTTGTATTTGATAGAGGTGTAGCAAGGCCAAGGGCATAAAGAGGGTGAGCTGGGCAATCGCTGAATGGTTTATGGATGGAATATGCCACACACACATACAACCATTCATGCCGACTATGATATTATGGCTGTTTGAGGTGATTCAAAGATTTTGACGCGCCGGTAGCGCGAAACTAATCTAAATGTAATAAACAAGCGGCTGACAGTGTGATTTCCATTTAATATTTCGGTCGGTGTGGTCGCGATGTATTTGCTGTAAGCATGCTCGGCGCCTTAACCCGGCAATTAACGGCACAATTAATTAAAACACAAACAAAAACGGTGCATGTGTTTGGTGCGCCATACAGCTTTTGCCAGGCACTTCCGCCCACCGAGCACAGTGAGTGCTTCTATCGCCATAGTATGTCTGTGCTCACACACCTACAAACATACGCGTTTTTGATATTTTATTCTAACTTCTTTTTGTTTCTTAGCATTTTTTTTGCCCCCATTGTGTTTGTAATGATGATGACGATGACTCCCAACGCGGAAGCTATAAACAAATTGCAATAGACACAGGCGTTTTACAGCACAGCATATGATCTTCTAACTTAACAACGTGTTTCACTCCCACGGGTAGTCCGAACTTCAACTGCAATGTGTGAGTGTGTACGGGCGGTTCCATGACTAGTACGACGGCGTCTGTATTGCCGCACAGTGTGCAAAACCATAAAATGTCAATGTAATTTTCGGAATAAAAAATAAGACATAACAGAACGTGACTTCGAAAGGATGCATGACAGTGATTCAATATGAACAATTTGTTCGGAGATTGTATGATCGCTTTGGATAATAATCCATGCCAAAATCCTTGAAGATACATTGCAAAAAGAAAAAGGTTTAAATACAGTGACTTGATTCTGATCGTTCCTTTAAGTATACTGTATGTTATATTGACCCGTTATCGGCGGTTCCAGCAAATGAAGAGCTTTTTGGGGAGAAAATGACGTACGCAAAATTTCAGATCAATATCTCAACTACTGAAGGCATAGTTCGCGTATACAGAGAGACGAACGGACATGACAAAAGCGGCTCAGCTCGTCACGCGAATCATATATGTACATACATATGTATATGTATATAGGGTATCCGTCGTTACCTTCTGAGTCTTATATATTCATGGTAAACATATATCGAACAGCTTAAAATCAGCTAAATCAAGAAATAGACGTAAATTGATGGTAGAGCTTGATCGTACCGAAAGTTCTGCGGAAGATTTATGGTTCTTTGCGCGTTGGCCACGGCAAATATCGCGTTCGGTGGAACGATGAGCTGTATGCGATATACGACGAAATTGACATAGTTCAGCGAATAAAAAGACAGTGGCTACGCTGGCTAGGTCATGTCGTCAAGAATGGACGAAAACAGTCCAGCTGGAAAGCAGTGGAAGAGGAAGACCTCCCCTCCGTTGCAAAGACCTTCGCTTGGATTCTCCAATTGGCGCCACCTTGCGAAAAGAAGAAACAACGAATGACACGCTGTTGTTAATTCGGCTATAACCGCGCAAGCGGTTTCTACGCCAGTAAAGAAGAAGAAAGAACACCTCTAGAGAATTAGTATAGTAATGTCTACTCTTTCTAACAACAAACCATCAAAGAATGTGGCTGGTCATAACACTGTGCTTCACATCAGTTGCAAGGAAAACTTAAGTAAAGCTAACGCAGTCAACCACTTTGTAAACAAGCTGGTCGACTGGGCATACAAAGGAGAACCTCTGCTTAACGTTTTAGCTGCCGGAGCACACTCGATAAGATTTAATTTGTTTAGAGTTTCGAAAAGCATTGCCGTCATCCGTGCAGCGCATCACTAATGGTAAAGCAGGGAGGGTGGCGGGGACCTCAGTGCACGTCAGCCGCAAGCGCTTCGTCAACAGTTGTTTTACATGCCTCATATTGTTGTTACAAAATAATTTCAGTGGTATTTGACTGTTTGATGGCATGTGCTCGGCTGGCTGCTCATAATTGTATGCTTGAGTTTAGGCAGCTGGTAGAAACAAGAGCGCGGCGCAACGAAGTGGTGAGAGCATGGCGCTTGCAACTTCAGTGGCTTCGTTGGGCGATGCAGAAAAGCGAGAGAAAGGAAGGGCACACTGCAATTGATACCGATGCTATAAAATTCGAACACAGATATTTGTTTTAATTATAAATTACAATAGAACAACGTGGGCAGCTGGATTTTGCTTTCTGTGATGGGCATTCACTCAAAATATACAACAAATAATCATAAAATAAATATTATAATTAACAACAACAACGCCGACAGCGCTTAATTTTTTACACACTAAAGTCAAACGGCGCATTGCCTATTTGGATGGCTGGCGGTTTTGAAGCTTTCGAGGTCGCCAAACTCCAATGGCCGCTCATCAACCGGGGCGGGAGAAGGCGACAGCGAATATTACTCTGACCAATGTAATAGCAAAATGTGGCGGGTTACTTGTGGGCGCGAAGAGAGTGCGGTGGCAATTAAAGTGCGTCTAGGTTGATAGTTAGCTTTTTGGGGTGCGGCTGCTTATGTTGACGCTGCCGTCGCCGCTCACTGACTGCCAAACGCTAAACAAACCGAAAAAACCAAACGGGGAGTAAATATAATTAAGCGTATGTATGTATGTACATATATACGCGTGCATCGCGCACTGAGTCGTCGGACGGACAGTTGAAGTCATTGTTACTTACCACATTAATATGGCGAATGCAGCACACTCAAACAAAACCCACACACACACATTACAAATAAGAAAAAAATATATAATAAAATTAAACCAATAAAATACAGGAACAGTAGTGTGACAAATATGGAAACAAATAAATAAAACGAAACACCTAAACAAAGTAAAAGAAATTTATTATCGAAAAGTAGGGAAGCCCAATATGGCACGTAGACAAGTAAGGAATGGCTATCTTTTTGCAGAACCGAACATTAGGCACTCCCGTTAATTTGGATAATTTGAAAGTACTTAAAGAGACGAATGCTAGTTGACAACTAAAATTATTTTTGATTCCGATATTTTTTGACTTGAAACCTTGAAATTCTACGAAGCAAGTGAACCCAACTTTATTAATATATAAATACAATCAGATTGCTTCAGTAATTTATCATACAGTTAATCGGACAGACAGTTTTGTATCTTATTGCGTTCTTAGTCGGTCGTGAGAAAACCTGCATTCATCATTTTTTATAAATCTATAATATGGAAAGTTATCTTAATTTGTTTATATGCTTCATTAAACAATAACACATTAAACATTTTTTTGCCAAAGAAATCGCATTTTTTTCTTCAAAGTGTTCCCCAAAAGTGAATTATTGGAATTTCAAAATTCCCCGCAGCGTTATCTGGACAAAGCTTTACATAACGATATAATTTTGATTCAGCATCAAGTTATGAGTATTAACTTTTTTCCAAACGTTCCAAAATAATTACCATTGCCGCATTCTTTTAATATTTCTCCATGAAAATCTTATGCAGTATTCTTCGAAGATTATGCTCTTATAAAAATTTAAGAAAGAGACTTCAATTGTTTCCTAAATAATCATCAAAATATGCCATTTTTTACACGAATTATAATGTACCACTGCAACACATCTTGAATCATCCCACAGATCTGAAGCACCTTTTTCAAGAACTCTCAGTCATTATAGTCAACTCACAATTCTACGACTTTCTTAACGCCTAATGATAAAAATGCAGAAATGCGTGATCGGCATTGTTTCGTTAGTATTGTCTCTGATAACTATAGTTGATCTTTTGATTCTTTAGAGAACTGAGGATTCTCATTTTCTTTATATACTTGACATAACAGTTTGGAAAACTAAAAAATATATTTCAGATAAACGTACAGTAACGCTCGTTAACAACAACACTGCCACTCCTATAGCTCCTTTTGTTTTCACTATTTTTTATTCTTTTAACTCTTTTTTAGAAATTCGTACTTGTTTTATGCTTTTGTTTCCAACTGGACGCCTTTGCAACACTAACGAGCAGCGGCAACTGATCGCGTTATTTGGAGCAAATCTTGCTGCTCCAAACTACATACAAAAAAGTCAATCAGTCCGATCCCACAGCACAACACAATAGAACACATTCAACAGTATAAAGATTAACGAAAAAAAAAAATAACAAAATAAGAGCAACGCCAACGCGAAACTTCGTCTTTGTATTGGATCACCGATTTTGACTGAAGCGCAGAGAACGTAAAGTTGTTGCTGCCACATTGAGCGCTACGAGTTGACTGAAATTGCTTGCGCTTTGGTGGCGCATCGTCAATACACGCAATGTCGAATAGCTGGTGGAGGCACTGGAGTGGCAGCCACCAACCACCCCGTCGACAACGCCATTGCCCGCAACAGACAGAAGCAGTGTTGCCGCATAGACACACAAAATGTATTATAACAGACTTTTCTTTATAATCATTTATTATACATAAGTATATTAAAAAATCTAGCTAAGCCGCAAATTTGTAGTTAGAAGATCATACCGCCGGTACGTTGTGGTAGCTAAAACTCCTATAAAATTGATCTTAGCCTTATGAATCAACGAGGGGCTTTGGGTCGATCACAAATTCGTTGAGGCTAATTTTAGTTTCGGCTATGTTCCCTGGTTCGCCGAAGGTATGACTGCCGTAATGTTTCAAACTCAGTCTTGTAAAACCTGAACAATTGAGGAGAAAGTGCCTAGATGTTTCCACCCACCATCTTCTATCAAAGGAATAACACGTCTTAGCCTTATTATTACAGCATGAATGTCTATTGGACAATGTGCACTAGGAACTCCTATTATTGCGCTAGGATTAATTTTGCTAAGGTACAAGTACAAGTACAAGTAGTTAAATAGATTTCGGAAGTTCTACTCTAGCCCAAAAGGAGATAATGGAGATCCAACTCGTTCCCCTTCCTATATATGAGTAAGGTACCGGTAGTTAAGCAAGTTTATAAAACACCTATAAGTTATTATACATATTTTTTACTTTACCCAGCGGTAACACTGGATACGGCACAGTTGGATGGGCAATGCATAAAAAGTAATACTCGTATATAAATCCAGTAATTCCTCGCATGTTACTCACCCGCTGAACTCATAATCGCTATTTTCTGTGGAGCTTGACTGCTTGACTGCGCGATCGGCTTCCGACTGCCGCTCACTCTACACAGACAATGCGTTAGCGGGCGGCTCGAGAGGGCGTATACGCGTTTTTTCGAACTATGTTATTACAACAACAAGAGTGTGGTATTCTCATCCGAAGACAAGTGTGTTTGCTGGTGGCTTGTTTCGCTAACCGGCTGGTGGGCTGTGCGTTTGCTGTCGACATGTTGCCCCACATGATAACTCATAGGCACATACATATGTTTAAGTACTCGCTTCAACAGCTGCTTACTATGCCACCGTTGCGTTTACTCCTCCTAAGCCCACAACAGACTACAGACAAAACCGGCGGTTGTGTTAATCGACCCGGGTGGGGAAACTCCAGAGTAGCGGATGGAAGCATTGCGATTTTTGCTTTTTTTTATTTTCCACTACATACTCGTACACTGGGTTGTCTAGAACATTTTATTTCATTTTAATTACAAGCGTTTCCTTGGGTCCTACATCAGCACCAAGAAGTCTAGAATAGTTGGCTGATAATTAAATTCAGATGCACACAACTGCGATGAAACACAACACTTTCTTGTTGTTGGCACTTTTAAAAGACGAAGCGACTCGATTGATACCAACTACCAAATGCCATGAGTAGGTAACTGAGGCGTCCTGGCTACTAAAATTAAAGAGGGGTATTTTATACAATTTGTCTTGTAATGTGGTTTCGAGCAATTCTTGGATTGGATTAAGGGGAAGGTATAAGTCGTAGCTTAATTCCACCTAGATATCTTGTTGGTGTTATGATTATTTTCCTTCAAACAGGAGTTATTAAATAAGAAATATTAAGACAATGGTATCAAGTTTCCGGAACGATCGAGATCTTACTTTGAGAGTGAAGTAGGAGCTAGGGCAATATATTCTTCCATTTTGGAAGAGGGACCACATATGTATGTTTTTCGACTTTGGGTTCAGCTGTCGCCAGACCAATTAATAAATGCTATACAAGAAGAGGTTTGCATGATTTTACTTTTAATAATATTTAAAATATTTCTAAAAAATATTTCGTCTAAATACGAGCAGAGCGCATTTTACCCTTTGCGCAACACGTGAACTTAAGCATCCTCTCTGCGGGCATCCTAACGTACCAACAGACAGAGTCCGTTGTGGTTTAACGTGAGTTCCTGCCTGAGAAGGCCTAACCCCATGGTGCTTTCTATTGCTAGAAGCACATAGATTAAAACAATGCGTTGATCAGCGCCCCAAAGCACGAGTGCATGCACCTGCACCATACTCTGGAGAACCAAAGCATGAGTGCCTGCGCATATACTTATACTTTGATTCAAATTGGTTTGGGTGGACAAGTACACCCTACCCACCTTGGTCGGGTACGAGGCCCATCTAAAACCCCTGCCGTACTCTGGGTCCCCGGCACCCGGCCGCAGTGCGACTCTACACCAGACTAAATGCTCTTCCTGTATTTAGGTCTAAACCACAGCCACCACGAATCTCCACAAAGGGCCAAAAACCCAATGAGCAGATTGGAGTTTCCTCCAAGGGCTAACTGCTCCCCGTGGTACCATGTTTTAGTCTTTGGTGTGACTTGTAGCTTACGCTACTGCCAGTTGAGCCCCCAAGAATTCCTAAGAACCCTTAAGAACTCAACTGTATGTTGACATGTGTCTCGTAAAACCCTTCGTAAACGAAAACACGGTCGAATACCAGGAATAAAAAGTACAGAGTACAGTAACCATGTTTTACGATGAATACTATAGCACTATATCTGACATGGACTATGCTGAAATTCAAGGCAAGCCCAGAATGACAGACACAGTGCGTGCGGGATTTTAGTCGCCTCTTACGACAGGCATGCCTTACCACGGGTATATTCGGTTTCCCCCCCAACCTGGAGGGGTCCCCCCTACCCGCAGGGGGAAGTACCAACAGACATACAGATAAGTAGACATCAAAAGAATATTTTCTCGAAATCATCATAAGAGACATTACGCATCCCTAGTTTACAATTGCGTGCGACGCCATTGACTTTTGTACTTATCGCTTCCACGCGTATGCACACTTTGCTTAGAAAAAACTATACATATATTATAATATATGCATCAATATGTGTAGGTATGAATGTATGTTTATACGAATGTTTGTTAAATATACATAAATACGCTTGGTATTCATTCTGTGGTTGCGGCTATGGCTACGGCTACGTCTGATTCACTGATTCGTTTGCTTGGATTTTATCTATTCTTTGTTTTGCTTTGAGTATTCTAGTCATTCAAGGCTCCTCGAGAGTACACAATGCGGTTTGACAGCATTATAGGCCTTTCCGTTCCGCTCTTAGCACCTTGCCAGTATACTTAACATATAAGTAGCGGGTTAAACATTCAAGTCGCATCCAAATCGTGTTCGCTATGCACATCTTCATTTACGTATATAGTAGTGTGTGATCTTACACCCATTGCCATGGCAATTTCTTGTGTACAATTTGATGTTTTCACACTTTCGATCAATCCATTCAACATTAACTCGCTATCGATTACTTCATTTGTAAATACTTATGTACTTATGTATTTATACTTGCATTAGTATTTTTAAATCGTTTTCGTTGGATCATCCGCGCTTTAAGGTCTTATTTATACATAAATACTTACATATATGAGGTATTTACATACATATTGCTTTAGCTCTTGTCGGAGGTCTTACCAACGCGCTATCGATTACTTCATAACTACCGAGTGTACAAACAAGTATTGAGTAATATAGGGCAATTGTTAGTGCGTGTGCGCAAATCACTTAAGTACACAGCTGGTACTTTCACTATCAATGACCGGCGTCTTTATCGCACATGCAGTGCACTTAGAAGGGAGTTCTGCGCAGCTTCATTTCACCAGTGACAGTGGTTTACCGCGCAATTCATATCGATCAAATCGCTACGAAGACAACGCGGCTTACCAGTGCAATATGTCGACCATTTTCGTTGTGTTACTCTGTGTATCCTTTGCCATCATCCCAGCTCCATTGTGGGCTGCGTCGCGCCATCCATTGCATTCTTTGCGTTCACTTCACTGGCGCCCATCGAAGACGCCCTGTTCCGACTATGAGATGCTGATTATCAACACGCGTTACTGCGTTTCTCGCTGTCCGATCCGTTGCTCAAATGGTAAGTGTTTTGAGGATGGCGTTTGCCCGTGCGCCGACAACTATCAAACGTCGTTCGAAAAGGAGGAGCTCGTATGCGCCACCGAATGTCTGCCCGGATGTCATACTGCTGGAGGTTTCTGTGCAGCGCCCGATTTGTGTCTCTGTAGTCAAGAGGGGTATTATTTCGATGCGGTGGCACGGCGTTGTCGAAAATACCATAGCTTGAGTGATCGTTGTTTCGGGTGAGTGAGTGTTTTACTTGTGGTACTACTATTGAATATCCTGCATTTCACTTTTAGGCGTTGCTTGTATGGAAAGTGTAACGCGAATGGAGAGTGTATTTGCGCACAAGGATATACCTCTCAAGAGACTCTGTTCGGCCAAATGTGTGCCCCCGTGTGCAAACAGTAAGTAATAAACCTTATCCGATTGATAAGATATTTATCTGGTACTGAAAATGCTACTGAGTTTAAGGAATGCTACCGTAAAATAGTAGGAGGTAAAATAATTGAGTTATTTCGGCAGTTGTCATGGTAGTGTACGGTTTTGATATTAATTCCGACCACTGTAAAAATTTCAGAACTCCTCGTACCTCGGAAGGCTCTTGCAAAAAAAAAAAAAAAAAAAAGTAAGCAAGGGCTAAGTTCGGGTCTCACCGAACATTTTATACTCTCGCATGACAAGTTTCAGCAAGATATCTCAATTTTTACTCAAGTTACAGCTTGCACGGACGGATAGACAGACATTCGGATTTCAACTCTACTCGTCACCCTGATCACTTTGGTATATGTAACCACATATCTGACGATGTATACCGTTATTAGCAACTTTACTGCAAGAGTATAAAAATGATGCCATCTGAATTACATGAAAATATCTGAGAGATTTACCGATATTTTCGGTGAAAAATTAGGTTAGGTTAGGTTAGGCACTGAGTTCGATATCAGGGACCTTGAAAAGTTATAGTTCGATCACGACAATTTTTCTACAAGGGATACCTCAGCTCAAATACCGTATTTGTGTATAATGTATATATTATAGAGAGAAGACATCAGAAGGAATTCAAAATAGTGTTATATTGGAAGGATTCGTAGTTGTGAACCGATTTCACCCATATTACGTACATGTCATTAGAGTGTTAGGAAAATATTATATACCGAATTTAATTTAAATCGGTTGAGTAGTTCCTGAGACATGGTTTCTGGTCCATAAGTGAGAGATGCCACTCCCATTTTCAATTTTTAAAACAAGCCTGTGCAGCGTCCTTCTGTCATTTCTTCCCTAAAATTTAGTGTTTCTGACGTTTTTTTGTTAGTCGGTTAACGCACTTATGGTGATTTTCAACATAACATTTGTCTGGGAGGTGGGCATTGTTATTATCCGATTTCTTCCATTTTTGAACTGTATATGGAAATGCCTGAAGGAAACGACTGTATAGAGTTTGGTTGACATAGCTATAGTAGTTTCCGAGATCTGTACAAAAAACTTAGTAGGGGACCGGACCACGCCCACTTTTCCAAAAAAATTACGTCCAAGTATACCCCTCCCTAATGCGATCCTTTGTGCTAAATTCCATTTTAATATCTTTATTTATGGCTTAGTTATGACACTTTATAGGTTTTCGGTTTTCGCTATTTTGTGGGCGCGGCAGTGGACCGATTTTGCCCATCTTCGAACTTAACCTTCTTATGGAGCCAAGAAATACGTGCACCAAGTTTCATCATGATATCTCAATTTTTACTCAAGTTACAGCTTGCACGGGCGGACGGACAGACAGACATCCGGATTTCAACTCTACTCCTCACCCTGATCACTTTAGTATATAACCCTATATCTGACTCTTTTAGTTTTAGCACTTACAAACAACCGTTATGTGAACATAACTATAATACTCTCCTTAGCAACTTTGTTGCGAGAGTATAAAAACGGTCCAAAAGTGTTTTCCCTTATTCCCTCAAAAAGCAATGCTTAATTAACACACGAAATGCTTTATGAAACATTTTTTTGTAAACTAACACAAGTTGCTTTACAAAAATTCTATATTTTTTTAATACCTTATAGAAATCATATAGATGGTAGTAGTAGAGTATCGTGGACGGGTCCAGACGCACTTTTCTTGGAATTAAAAAATAAAAGCAAAATTTCCCGCAAATGTCGAGAATTCGGCTCAAAAAGTGATATTTTCAGTTGAGTTGGTTCAGTAAGTTTGGGATGCAAACATATCTCAACAAATATTTTGTTTGGTTAATGTTAACACAAATGTCGAAGATCGTTCTTGATCCTAGAGACATCTATTGAAAAATGGCGGAAGCAAAGTTGTAGACCATAGTATAGCTTAACTTACCCTTTCTACTGCGATATCCTATGGCGTTTTGCAGTTTTATATTGTGACAAAAAAGTAGCCTGAAATTGACTTGGATGCATGTCAAACTCTTGAACACGATCAAACGATGCAAGCATGTTCAAAGAGACCTGTTTACGGCATTTTTTTTTTTAATGAGCTTTATCGGGGCGAGTCGAAAGAACTCGCGAGAGCGGTCTCTCTAACACTTGCCGGACGATTTTCAAGCACCATACTTCTTTAAGATCAGATGAGGAGGTCGAAGGTCGTCCAGAAGGAGGCATGTCTTCACCGATCTCTCGACCGCCTTTAAAGGCTTTATACCACTGATTGGTTTGTGTTTTTGAAAAAACTGAATCAACTGGTTAGAAACACAAACTTTGAAACAAATTCTTCGTACGATATTGCTTTCCATTGTAAAAATTGCAACGCACTACTGAGATGTACCGAATTAATCAGCTGGTGTAAACAAATTGATTAACAAATCATTTTTGGCATAGAAATTAAATACAGTCCTCCCAACTTAGCAAAGTACATTTTTTTGAAATATCACTTACCCAGGGAATTTAAATTACAATTTCCAGGTACTTTTTTTTTTGTCAAAACGTAAATATATTTAGTTCTTAATAATGGCACTTTATAAGTTTTTATTTAATGACCTATTTTGGGAGTATTTCCTTGTATGCCGCGAACACATGTACCAAGTTTATCCGAGACATCTTAATTTTTACTCATGTTATCGCTTACACAGACGGACAGACAATCACTTGGAATTCAACCCGTTTCTTCAGTGTGATTATTATATCTATCTCGTTTATGTAGTTTTAAGCGATTATTTGTGGACTGAAGAAGTTCAGATTCTATTAGTCGCATTAAACATCTACATATCTGACCTGGTCTACGAAAAGGGAGCTAACGTGCGAAACTTCTGGGAAACAGCTGTTAAAAATCTTATCTTCCATCCGAATCAACTAAAAAGTGAAAATTGATTTTTTGGTTTTTTTGACACCTAAGCCCCCTTTCCGTAGACCAGGTCACATATGTTTATGTGACGAGAGTGAAACCTTTCTGAAGATAAGTGATGTACAGAGTTTAGTTTGTAATGATCTTATACAAGTAGAATATTCGAACGATCATTAATAAAATTTTATGTAAATATGTATTTATTCATGTCACTCCTGACTTTGCTGGTGTTCCATATGAAAGCAACAAATTGTAACCTGTACTCAACATTGTGTGTTCTATAATTTCAAGTCTTTTAAAACAAGTACGGCGGTAATACGCATCACACTTTAGCTATCATTGAAATGAGCTGAGTCGATGGGCAAGATGTGTTCATTGCTCTTGTATTCACTTCAACTCTAACGATGATTTTCTTAGGGCGGACCTTCACTTCCCAACCGCTTCTTGAGGAAAAACAAAATTCTTACAAGCGATTCCTTTGGGATCAAACAAGTAAAAATAAAACTTCACATCTAAGACCGATTTGACTTTTTATGCGACCTGTTGGGGAATTTTGGTGTGATATATTGTAATTAATAGACGAATAGTAAATCTTACTTGGTATTCGTAATACTAATATTGCCGAATTCATTGATCGTTTTAGTTACTCATATCGATTTGTGTATAGTATATAGTATACCGACATAAAATAAAACAAAATCCTCTTTTGTCATTTCAGAAACTGTGGTAAATATGGCTTTTGCTTTTTACCGAATATGTGCGCTTGTCGAAAGAAAGACTATCACTACGAATATGATGGTGAATGCCATGCGGACTACATACATCTGGAGCAATAATGCGAGTATTAATTAAATAATATTTTATTTTCTCTAATTTAGTGTACTTTAGATTAAAAGTTATGTTTGTGTTTGAGTATAAATAAAGTAGGATGTACATATGTATATAATTTATTACCAATAAATAAAGAGTAGTTGATTATGTGAAATACTCATGGAATCCATAATGTAATATGTAGTCGTCTGAAAATTAAATATAGACAGTAAATGCATAGTATATGTACATATATACTTATGTCAGTATGTATAGAAACTTTAAATGTTTGGCAATGCTTTCAACAAATAACTTCAGGCACGACCCTATGTGTAGATGTACACAATATCTTATACTATGTGACCGACTAGTGTCTAGTAAAATGTAGTTAACTAGTAGTTTGAATCCCAGAAACGGACTATAGTACAGTGTAGTAGATGATCATGATTTCCTCACCTAGCTCGGCCACAATTATCAATCTTTGATCAACTAACAGTGTCATACAGAACCCAACAATATCTTTACTTATGTACGTCAGGTTAGAATATTGTGAGTTGTATTGAATATCTGTCGTTGGCAGAATCGGAGAGTTTATCTCTATGTGTCATTAGCTTTTAAACAATGTGTAAGTTGTTCCATGCAATCTGTTTTGAACGAAAGACATACATATATGTTTGGTAGAATATTTCCTGGAACGGCTTGAATTCAAAAGGATTCGTATTGTCGGCAAATATGTTGCTCTAAGAAAGTTCATATATGTTTCGTCTTCTTTACTGGTGTACACACCATTTACGCGGTTATACCCGAGTTAACGACAGCGCGCTAGTCGTTTCCTTTTTTTTGTTATTTGGCGCCGATTGGAGATACCAGTGCAGCCAGGTCCTTCTCCTCCTGATCTTTCCAAAGAAGTGGAGGTCTCCTCTTTCTGTGCTTCCCCTGGCGGGTACTTAATCGAAAACCTTCAAAGCCCAGCCAGTCCAGCCGTTATATCTTCATTCGCTGAACTATGTCCATGTCGCCGTATATCTCGTACAGCTCAAAGTTCCATCAAATGCGATACTCGCCAGAATCATAAATCTTCCGCAGAACCGTTCACTCGAACACTCCTAAAGCCGACGCATCAAACGATGTTGAGTTTGGTATTTGTTCGTCGAGAAGAGCACCTGTTAGCAAGAGTAATTCTGCGTTGGATTTCAAGGATAATATTGTAATAGAGAGTTCCCATTACTCCCATCTTCGAAATTTCATTAAGATATCTCAATTAATTAAAAATATATCACAAAACAATATCTTTAAATTACGATGGATCCAAAATATGAATTTTTTAAGAAGATATACAAATACTTTCTAACATGACTGTGCCACATACACCCATCATTCGCTCAGTTAGTCAGCGCTCACTCATTTCGAAGCACTCACTCATTCGCTCTTACTCACGCCTGATGCCAAGTAAATTTGAGACCATGATTCGACTATAAAACCGCTATAAATATTAAGACACGCGTTCACTATGTTACACACACACATGCAAACATTTGTATGTTGAGTATCTACACTTCTGCTACAAAAATAACAAAAACAAACATGTTATAATTAAATTCAAACAACGCATATTTCAGAAACTCTGGCAAGTGGCGGGGTCTAAAGAAATGGAAGACAACAAATAAATGCTTATCATCGTCACAATGACGTCTGTGGCATCCAATTCGCAAGCATGCTATGTGTGTATGCGTTAAAGTGGTATGCATTTATTTTGCACACTTTAAGACGGCCAAAACAAAGTTATATGTACATTTGTATATACATACTATGTTTGTAAATATTTACAGGTTAGCACTGAGTAGGAAATTGGCCAAAACAATTCACAAATGCGTGGAAGTAAACGAAAAGAAATTGCGTATCCAATAAATGGCAAACAATTCGCGGGTTTTGAAATGGAAAATAATACTTGTTAAATTTGGTCAACTTTCATGTCTCAGCTCACGTATTTACATATGTATATACATAACTATGTATGTCTTGTACAGATAAATGCATGTGTACGCATGTGGACTGATAATATTTTTTCGTAATTTTTTGCACTTGCTCTGCTCAGCGCGGGGAGGATTGTAAATGTTTTGGTAAACAAAAAACATTCCGATAAAGCCAAATTGGGAACGCACAGGCCAAGATATAGAGGACACGCGCGGTCTTCGAAATATCTTTATCTACAATTCGACGTTGAACAAGTGTGAGCATAAAAGTACAATAACAAAGCATTAAGATAAATTCGAACTGTTAAACACCATATGTGTGTACGAGGTGTGTTCAAAAAGTATCGCGAATTTTTTGTTTTTTCAAAAATTATTTATTTATTCATGAAATTCTATTTTGGCCCCTTCAAAGTAATCCCCATGATATATTATACACTTGTGCCAACGGTTTTTCCAATCTTCGAAGCACTTCAAAAAATATATTTTTTTTTTCTTCTTCAGCTCCTCCTTCGTATGCCACAGTCAACATTCGAAATGCATCCGCGCACTTAATTTCGTTTTTCACACAAAATTTGATACAGGTTCTTTGATCCATTTTTTTGAATAGGTTAAAATCGAAGTCGATCCAAAACACGTGCAAGCAAAGCAGCTGTTAACAAATAAATGAGCATTCAAAATGGCCGAGCTTGTCGGCATAAGTGAGAGACATGAGTACCAACATAATGCCACAAAAAATTCGAAATTCGAATATAGGTAATCCGCGAAAATTCAAAATTCCCGATACTTTTTGAACACACCTCGTACATGGGTACATTGTCATACATACATATATGTATGTATCCCCGAATGAAGAAGAAAGCATAAAATTCAGATTTCCCACGTGTTGTGCTCTCTTGATTGGAAGAGAGCTAAGCACTACAGATGCGGTCTTTTAAGGCCTACATATGTATTTAGGCTTGTAACTACTAGAGTACAAAACGCCACTTAAAATGTCCCAGAAGATTTTTCAATGCGGACTACGTGACATATGCTCACCGCTTCTTAAGCATGTCTACAACAACAAGTTTTAAGTATTTATGGACAACTTTATGACAATAGCATTAGCATACTCGCACTCGCAGTACTTGCTGTTGGATGTTTTTTAAACCAACCCAAAAGAGAGTGTTAATAAACTCACACGCGCCATTTTTTCATTTCGATAAACATTGCGTTAAATTGTCGGAAATAGTCGGCTGCTAAGTTCCCTTCGCGATGTTGGCTTCGATTTTTGTAACAACTGACTAAAGCAATAAATTATTAATACTTACTTTACTTACGAATTCCGCTTGATAACTCTGTTTTAGTAGTAGTTGTAAAGTTAACGAGTATGAAAAATAGCGAATCGAAGAGAGCTTAAATATCTTAATTGAAATCTTTCCTTTATGTTTTGTATCTGACCGCTATTAGTGAACAGCAATAATATCCTATAGTATAAAATTGAGTATTTTGATTTTTTCTAGTCTAGCTTTATTAAGATAATATTTTTGGAAAGCTAATAGTTCTTTTGCTATTTACATTAGAGACTTTATTCACCAAAACAATATCATCAAAATCGGGTTTTTTTATCTCGAGTTGTAAGTAGTGAATCTAACCCGACTGTTTTATATTTCTTGCTCTCTTAGCCAGATGCTCAAATCATTCGACAGCGTAGGCTTTATTAAACAAATTGCTTTTTATCGTCCAGTTTGTATGGCATACTAGTCCTAAATCGGTAGTTCAGGAGTTGCATATACCTTTTTGAGAAGAGGACGTGTGTAAAATTCGAGATGTCGAATACAGACGGGCTAATACGCGTTTATACTGACGGGCATGGCTATATCGAGTCAACTAGTCATGCTGATCATTTATACATGTACATATACATATGTATTTTATAAAGCCGCCTACGTTTCCTTTTGAGTGTGACAAACGTCGTGTCAAACTTAAAATAACACACTTCCTTTAGCTTTTTCCAGAGCCATAGTATCCTTCTACTTTAATTATGTTCAGGGTATAATATATTACATAAAATAAAACCGCTCAGTTAAAGTAGAAGGATACTATGGCCCTGAAAAAAGCTAAAGTAAAATTTATTGTTTAAGCATCTATACCTTGTGTTACTCAAACAGCCAACTATAGCGCCTCCTAGCTAAAAATCGACAATAGCGAGCCGGTTCGCTCTTATTGAGCGAGTTTTTATAGCACATAAATGTAGGTATGTGCATTTTTCTGAGGCCTGTTATCAGATAGCTATTGCTGTTGTTGCTATAACTTCGTTCTGTGGTTTGTATTTATTTTATTTACTTATGTTATTATTATTAATGCTTTTATTTTTATACTTGATTTGCAATTTGTTATGACTTTTGTTGGTGTTGTTGCCGGGGGAGGCTTTCGCGCTGGCAGTCTAGTTCTTGGCGTTATTACCTTAATAAGTTTAAAAATATTTACATACATACATGTATATGTAAATGAATACAAGTGTATATGTATGTGTGCATTGAATTGTTGCGATCTCCAACCGCCGCCTTCCATTTGCTTCGGCAGCCACAGTGGACAACCAGTTGGTTGTTGAGCCAGCCAGCCAGCTAGCCAGCTCGCAACGACTCCTGCAGCCGCTACGTGCGATTCTGAATTTCAGTTGAAGTTTTGCTCTTCATCGATTCGCATCGTCTGCCATCTCCACTGGAGCTCATTCATTTCGTCGTTCGATTGCATTTGCATTGCCGCTTGATTTCAGTCTGTTGGCCATAAGAAAGAAATTTTGCAACACAACAACAACAACGTTTATCTTTGTAAAATAAAATAACAAACACATATTAATTATCGAAAATTTAGTGTTGGAACAACTCATCGACGATTTTAAAGGGTTAACAGCCAGACTGACAGCAGCATTTTTATTAGCAATTTTTTGCTGAATTTGTAATTTTCGTGTATTTCCAAAACTGTACGTGTAATTGTAATAAAAACAAGAACAATGACCAACATCAGGGTAAGTGGAGCGAGTATTTGAAAAAACTTGAATAAATAAGTGAAACGTCGCAAAATGGCGAAGTTAATTTTTATACCTGCTTCTTCAATTTTTTAATTTTATTTATAAATGTTTTGGGTAAATAACTGCAG